CCTTCGTGATTTTACTCTCAATAATATGGCACGACATCACCCTTCGTGCATTAACACTCACAATATCGGCACGACATCACCCTTCGTGTTTTACACTCTTCCTTACCCAAACAAATGAAATAATAACATTCCGGCAAGAAATCAACAATAGAATCAACAGTAGAAACAATACCATCCCGGCAAGGGAGTCAACAATATAAACCATATCATCCCGGCAAGGGAATCAACTATAACCAATCTAGTTTCAACATTTACTTCACATAATGAACCTCAACTTGAGTCAATGCTCGACAATGATCAATTACCAAGAATTTATTATAAGTCTTGTTCCATAGTGCTAACCATCAACTTAAGCATCAACAATACATAATATCACAACAACCTTAATATAAGACTCACATCATGCTTGACACCAACGTATAGATACTCGTCACCTCACATATACGTCGTACTCGACACTAATACGTAGCAAATAAGACACAACACCTATTCCCTCAAGCTAAAGTTAGGCCAAACACTTACCTCGGATTCCACGGCCAAACTCAAGCCTCTAATACCACTTTCTCTTTTGATTCCACTTCCAATTCAATTGTATCTAGTCAATATTAACTCATTAACATTAATTGAAGCTCAAGAAACCAATTCAAATTGAAAAATTATAGATTTCCCAACATTCTTCCAAAAAGTCATAACCCGGCCTCGGGCCCGCTTGGTCAAAACTCGAGGTTCGAACCAAAATCCGTTCACCCATTCACCCACGAGCCCAAATAATCAATTAGTTTCGGAATCCGACCCCAAATCGGGGTCTAAATCTCCAAATTTATAAAATCCCTAATTTCTACCCTTAAAAAATAAGATTTAGGCCTAGAAATCTAATGGGTGTTGATGGAAAATAAAAGAAATGGGTTTAAGAGCACATACCAATGATTTGGTGTTGAAACTTCTCTTCATGAATCGCCTATGGTCTGCATTTAGGGAAGGAGATATGAAAATTTGGGTTTAATCCTGTTCTGCCTCTGTTTTTAAATTGCTTGACAGGCTTTCTTAGCGTTCGCGAGACACAACGGCCAAAAGCCTTCGCGTTCGCGAGATACCCATCGCGTTCGTGAAGGCATTCTCCCCCCAGCTTCCGTGTTCGCGATCCAAGTGACGCATTCGCAATGAGTATTTCACCCCTCCCCCGGGTCCCTGCCATAATGGCCTTCGCGTTCGCGAAGGGTAACGCCCCCAACGCTCCGCATTCGCGACCTATGCCTCGCGTTCGCGTAGAAGGAATTTCCTTTAGACAAACTTTACTCTTCACGTTCGCGAGAGTTCCTTCGCGAACGCGAATAAGAAAATCCCTATGCACCTGCACAGCTAAGACATCAGAATATTTAAGTCTCAAAACATCCTGAAACCTATCCGAAACTCACCCGAGCCCTCGGGGATCCAAATCAAACATGCACACAAATCTAAAAATACATACGGACTTGATCGTGCGATCAAATCGCCAAAATAATACCTAGAGCTACGAGTTTAACATCAAAATCAAAGAAAAATCTCAAGAACTCTTAAGTTTCCAATTTCACAATCGTGGGTCCGATTCACATCATATGAATTCCGTTTCTTACCAAATTTTACAGGCACAACTTAAATACCATATTAAACATGTACAGGCTTGGAAACAAAAATACGGTCCCGATACCATCAAGTTCAAACATCTTTAAATTTCCAAAAACTCTTATATTTTTAGTTAAACAATTTCTTTCAAAAGTTCATTTCTCGGGATAGGGACCTCGGAATTCAATTCTGGGCATACCCCCAAGTTCCATATTTTCCTACGGACCCTTCGGGGACCGTCAAATCACGGGTCCGGGTCCGTTTACCCAAAATATTGACCGACGTCAACTTAAATTTAATTTTAAAAGGCAAAATTAGCATTTCCCATTTTTTTCACATAAGGGCTTTTCAGATATACGCCCGGACTGCTCACGTAAATCGAGGTGAGACAAAAAGAGGTTTTAAGGCCTCAGAACATAATTTTAACTTTTAAAACAAGTGTCATCACATCAGCAATGCTCTTTGTAAGCCCGGATCGAGGACGAATATTTCATTAAGGCTGGAGTCATCCTCCTCGCGTGGTTTGAGTTTATTATATCTTTACTTATTTTATCTAACGCAATTTATCGTTTGTGTCGAATTAATCCACGTATCTTAAACCATTTACAAATTTAATTGTTATCTAAGTTTGAGGGTAAACATAATATTCACTAAAATTTTAGTGGATTATATGTATCTTGATTGGAAGATCTATAGACAGTATTCTTCATGCGGCTCAAATTATTAGTGTATTTTAATTTGTACCAGATTGTGTCTAATCTCTCATATTTCCAATTCTGCTTTCTACAAATAACTATTATTAGATGATTCCATAATGTAAAAAAATTGTAAATATTGTGATGGTATATATTTACCCTAAAAACGGATAACAATTGAATTTGTATTGTGATTGTAAGGACACGTGATCTTACCTAGCACAAATTGAGCAAAAACGTAAATTGATATTGAAATTGACAATAAATAGAAATTAAAGCAAACCAAATGAATCAAGTAGCCTTGGCCCTCGAATTTGATCACCCTTGAACCAAGTGAAGATTTAGTTGATATAAGAACAAAGTAACAGAATGATGAAAGCTTAAGAGAAAAGTAGTATATTGCCTTATGTAACATTAATATGATGTCTTTTACAAATGATAAGACCCCCTTTATATAGTAGGGGAGTCCTACTCTTGGCACAATTCTAAATACAGTAAGAAATCCTATAGTTGGCTAATTAATCGGCCTCTTTTTGATACGTGCCGGGATTTGCGCCGTGATCCTTGCCTGATTGCGGATATTTCGTCTTTCTGTTATTCAACCGAGTAAGCTTCCCTCGATCTCCATCTTATTCGGTCTCAATCTTGGCCAATCCCAATCTTGGTCTGTCTTGGTTTTAGTCGGTCTCGATCTTAATCGGTCTCTGGGTCTCGAGCTCGGCAACCTAACTTCGTGTCACGGTCCGGTCTGACATAGGGTTGAACCCTGGCCTGCCATGCCCCGGTATCAATTAATCATACAAAAAGGACGAGTTCGATTTTGACCGTATACAATATAAAAACTAAATTCCTAGTTTATAGTAGAAAGACTGGAAGAGGAATAGAGATAGAGACAGAAACAAAGGAGGATTCTAAAGAGTCCGAAACCTTTTTAATCATTTTTTGGACAAAAAACACTTTTGTACTACTTAAAAAAAGTTACATAAATGAGTAAAACACAGTATTATACTGCGAATTACTTTAACGGCAAAATTTCCGTTAAAGTAATTCGCAGTATAGTACTGCGTTTTTGTTTAATTTTTTTTTTTGTAAATCGCAGTACTATACTGCGTTTTACTAAGATACTGCGCCCAACTATATTTTATTAAAGCTGTTCGCAGTATTATACTGCGTTTTACTTAAAACGCAGTATAATACTGCGTTTTACTTAAAACGCAGTATAATACTGCGAATAACTTCAATAAAATATAGCCCCTTCTTCTTCCTTGGACCACTAAACCGAAGGAAACCAAAAACCTTCGATTCTGCTGGTCTCCCCTCCCCCCGCGTCAAACTTCTAAAATTTTTTTTTGGGCCCCACCTGTCACCTAAAGAGCAAGGAGTGTAGGTCCCACATACAAGACAAGCTTTGGATTCCTTCTTTTGGGTGCAAAAATTCGATTTCAATCAAATTTAAAAAACTTAAATCGAGGTATTTCAATTTTGTTTATGTCGAAACTCGTATAGTACATGCATATTTGTATTGTTTAATGTGTTTCCATGTTAATTTGTGTTATGTTTGTGTTTAAATTTGTATCTTATTTATACCCGGATTGATTTATTAGCTTTGGTACAAAAAATTGTTAAAATTTGATAAATTATTTGTATTGTTAAAAAATTAATATTATTTATTTTGTTTGTTGTTCATATTTGTATTTTATGTTAGTTGTTTTTATATGTAATAGTGACCTTTTAGCGTAGTAAAATAAATAGCCTTTTAGCGTAGTAAAATATAGAGCCTTTTACTGTAGTAAAATATAGAGCCTGTTAGTGTTGTAAAATATAGAGCCTTTTAGCGTAGTAAAATGTAGAGCCTTTTAACGTAGAGTCTATGTAGTTTAAGTATGTAGTAACTGCAAACTCTATCCAATTACACTTTACAAAATTAATTATTTAATTATAACAATAAACTTACAAAAGTAACAAATTCCTATATGTTGTAAAATTAACTCAAAAATCGAGCCTGGAACCCATACATAATTATTCTGTCCAATTGTAAACATAATTAATTATTTAATTTATTAATCTAGTACACACAATTCTAAAAATGTTAAAATTGACACGCATAATAATTAAGGATAACTCGGTGCTACCGAGCCTCAAAAATCGAGCCTGGAACCCATACATAATTATTCAGTCCAATTGTAAACATAATTAATTATTTAATTTATTAAGCTAGCACACACAATTCTAAAAATGTTAAAATTGACACGCATAATAATTAAAGATAACTCGGTGCTACCAAGCCTCAAAAATCGAGCATGGAACCCATACATAATCATTCAGTCCAATTGTAAACATAATTAATTATTTAATTTATAAAGCTAACAAACACAATTCTAAAAATGTTGAAATTGACACGCATAATAATTAAGGATAACTCGGTGCTACCGGGCCTCAAAAAATGAGTCTGGAACCCATACATAATTATTCAGTCCAATAATAAACATAATTAATTATTTAATTTATTAAGCTAACAGACACAATTCTAAAAATGTTGAAATTGACACGCATAATAATTAAGGATAATTCGGTGCTATCGGGCCTCAAATATCGAGCCTGGAACCCATACATAATTAATCAGTCCAATTTTAAACATAATTAATTATTTAATTTATTAATCTAATACACACAATTAATTTTGTTTAAATTGTAGTAGACGACATGGACTTTCCTCCGCCTGCGCATCCCGGACCTGCTGAGGATCAGCTACTAGTGTTGCAGGGCGACCATAGGTCCTCATTTGTATGGGAGGGACAACTATCGATGCAGCCTCTCCGCCCCAGGAGACCTGACGATTTATGGGAGTTCATCGGGGAGCATCCTTTCCATGCCCGCGTAGTCGCGCGCTTACAGGCTACGGGCTTCTATACGATTTTTGAGCTTGGATGGATGCAACTTGATTGGTCTCTCATCACGGCCTTGGTAGAGCAGTGGCGACCGGAGACACACACTTCTCACTTGCCCACTGGAGAGGCAACCATCACGCTGGAGGATGTTCAGGTTTTGTATGGGTTGCGCGTATATGGACGGGCCGTAGCACTGCCCCAGTACATTAGATCCATGACGCGTGCACAATTTTTGGATATGATGATGCATTTTACTGGTTATAGACCTCAGGGTGACGTTGGGGATAGTCGCGTTGCTTTGTCAACCATCAGAGGTCATATGGCGTTTTTGTACCCACACATTACCAGCGAGATGGAGGATCTCCATATTAAGAGGTACACGCAGTTGGCGCTGTTCCTGCTTTTCTGGTGTGTCTTGTTCTCGAACACTTCGGGGAGTAAAGTGAGTATGCGCTTTCTCCATCATCTTCAGGAGTTGGATGGTT